CTAATAAGGCGGGGTTAACTTGAAATTTATTTTCTTTTTCATCATTCTTATTTTCTATTCTTACTTTCTTGACTCTTTCCTCGTAACATTATAAAAGCATTATTGGAGGTTCCCACAACATTATCCAATATCCATAGAGTAATACGCGGAATTTACCATCACCGTCAAACAAAAACGACAAAAAAAAAAACTGAATACAATTCGGACAATTCTAGAAGAAAAAGAAAAAAAAAAAAAAACAAGATTTGACAATAAGAAATTTGTCAGGAAGTTCATTCTTAGTATAAAGTATTTGCAGAAATACTGATCAGATGAGAGTTTGACTGTGGAAGTAGTCGTTTCTTTTTTCTTCCTAAAGACTGAAAGTAGTCTAGATTAATCCTTTATCAAAATAACACCGACCAGCGACCAGTGCTTGCCCGGTAATTCCTTTTGCATATTCCCCTTTACTTTGAAAAGTGAACAAAGGACCCCCCACCAAGAAAAGATACAGATTCTGGCCGGTTTGTTTTATTTGGTATACCAATGGTAAGACTAATGACCATAATTTAATGCGACGGTTACATGCATGAAGTAGACTTCATTAATGCACTGACTATTTGCTTTGAACCTAGCTAGCTAGCTAAAATGGCTAATTAAGGGATACTCCCCTATTTCTTTTATCTTCTCAAAGAAAAAGGGCAGTCTCTCTTATAAAACTATAAAGGTTAACTACCGCTAATTAGTTACTTTAAGTCTTTAGATTTATATGAAAAATAGTTTTTCTTCCTGTTTTTTAATATGATGTTATTTTTATAACAGTCAAAAAATGGCTCTATTAATAAAGAGGGGCAAAAAAAAAAAAAAAAAAAAAAAAAAAAGATTTTGGATTGGGAACGCTATATATGATCATTTAGATGTAAGAGCATTAACATGTCATTGAAGATAGAGTTTGAGGGTGTTTGGTATGAGAATTCGTGTCATGGTTCGAATCATGTTCGTGGCTCGTTACATTATTTTTTCTCATAAAAAATACACGTAAATTGAGAATGATTCTAAATCATAATTCTGAATCTGTGAACCAAACGTCTACTTAGCTTGTATCAGATGCAACCATATGCGTATGATTCAATATATTATGCGAACTAGCTAGGGAGAGAAATTTCATGAGAACTGTTATATATGAATCATTTATTTTTATTTCCATACGATTCCTGAGGAAGGAAAAGTTTAGAATCGAATATGACCATCCATAAGGGCCGGTTGGAATTAATATGACATGGGAAATAGAGGACAATTTTTAAGTTAAAACAGAACCGTGTGGTGAATAAATCAGGGAGTACTAATTAAGTTAATCATGTTCAGTACAAACGGAAGGGTAAGTATTAATTAACAGAGAGCCTTATGTGTGTGTTTGTGTGTGAAATCCTTATACATGTATAATCTTTAGGGCCCGTTTAATTCGCTTATTCGAGATTTTAATTCGAGTTGAGATGTGACTTTATGTGAGAGCTTTTTACTGTAGCAAAAAAGTTAGATGTGATTGTTTGTGAGAGCTTTTTACTGTAAAAAAACTTGAATTTTAAAATCGAATCAGCGAAATGAACGGGGTAGAGATATCAGTGGTGTTAAATACTATACATTAATAAAAAGTGAGTCTCACAGTATTCATACTGTAAATAAGACTCGTTTTCTATTTGTTTAGTTCGTTGATTCGAGTTTTTAATTTGAGTTGATATATGACTTTATATGTCATATGAGAGTCTTTACTGTAGCAAAAAAGTTAAATGCGACTATTTTTAAGAGCTTTTTACTGTAACAAAATTCACATTTTAAACTCGAATCGGTAGTACGTATGTAGCTCGGGTTTCATTGACGTGTTCCAAGTAAAATAAAGATTTCAAATTAAATTTATTGTCTTCTAGGATTACTTTGCATGTCGGTCAGGAGAGAGAAGGGTCTGCTTGAGACTTTGAAGTCAAACATACTTCCTGATCAAGTAACATTAATTGGTAGAAGTAACTTACTTAGCAACTTCGTGTTCGTTAAAAAAAACCTTGTTCATGTTTCTACGTAACATCAACAATAGAACAATCTGGCGTTACAGGTGTTAGCCATGTTTCAAAATTTAAAATTAAATAAGTTAAAGATCTAATATTTTGATTAATTATCTGATAAGTGACAGGTAGTAGATGGCAATATTTTAGTAATAAAATTAATTATATTCAACTTTCTTGGGTTCTATTTTATTATATTTAAATGACGTGTACTTTCATACAAAGTAATAAAAGCCAAACTGCACAACGTCGTCTCGTTTATTTAACCGATTTGAGTTTTTATTTTTAAAGATCCGTTCAGTTTACTAATTTAAATTTTTAATTTGAATTAAGATGTGATGTTATGTGAGAATTTTTTACTATAGCAAAAAAATTAAATGTGACTGTTTCTGAGAATTTTTTATTGTAGTAAAACTCAAATTAACGAAAAAAATAGGGTCTAAATTTTTACAATAAAATTTTTTAAAAAAATATCACATTTAATTTTTTCTATTACAATAAAAAATTTTAATAAAATGTCATATCTCAATTTGAATTAAAATTTTAAATTTACGAAGTAAACGGGGATGTGCCGTAGAAAATATCTTTGCATTCAATCCAATCTAGCTAGCCGTATACCAACAAAAAAAAAAAAAAAAAAGGAGAGAGAGAGAGAGAAATATCTTTGCATTCAAGTCCAATCTAGCTAGCCGTATTCAAAAATAAAAAGAAAAAAAAAGGAGGAGAGAGAGAGAGAGAGAGTCCAATAGTGTCTCCAAGAATTGCGGGCTCACATGAACGTATACTTGTTCCAGAATATATGAAACAGTAAAGTGCTTAGTTTGAGTAATTTTTCATCGTCTGAAAGTACAATAATTTCAGCCAAAGCAAGAGAGTACAATAAAGATATGATACTATTTGCCAATCTGATAGATAGCTTCACTCGATAACCATATGGTCCACATCGGATTTTTTATATTTAATTTTTAGTATATGTTTTTTTTTTAAAATTATTCATATATGCCCCCTTATTAATAAAAATTTTAAATATATCCTCACAAAATCCTATCTCAAATTATTTTATTTCCTATTGTTCTTTTGAACATTTTCTATTATATCTTATACTTTAAATGTACCTAATTGATTTTTTTCTTTAATTTATTCTTATGAAAATAATTTTTCTCTTAAATTGGTCCCTTCTAAAATATTTTTGGATATAATATAAGCTATGTAAAAAATGACACATTAAAATATTTCTTCTCAAAATGTGCCTAATTAAGAATTTTTTTTTCAAACAACCCTCTCAATTACGACTTTCTCACATACACATTTTTTCTAATTTGTCCTTTTTAAAGTAATATGTATTTATTCAAATGTGCCCAACATACTTAAAGATTATTTTTCCTCTTCTAATACTCGTAGCTACTATTTTCTTATAGGTATTATGTAGTTACTAAACAGTTTTTCTTATCTAATTTACTTACTAAAATCTTTATTATTCAAATATGTTTAATAGTATATACATATATATTATTCATCTAAAAATATTAGGAGTCGATTTTATTAACATTTTTCACGATTTTAATTTATGCCACCTGAATCAAAACTCCGACTCTGCCACTATCCACAAGCAAAGAAAGCAAACCAAATACTGAACATCAATAGTTAGCTTCACTCAATAATTATACGGTCCATATTCCTTCAATAATGCGAAGCAAAACTATCTATAAAGGGAAAAAAATGTATTATTATTATCAAAATCATAAATTCTCTAGTACGTATAGCGTATTAATAGGTTAAGTTTTTCTAACCATTAAATCTGCATACTTTTTAATTTTTATATGATTTTATACAAATTTAACAAATAAAAAACTTAATCTACTAATATGTTAACGTACCAGAAAAGATTCCTATTAAAATTATAATAATTCCCCTTGTTCTAGGAATTATATTATTATCTTCTTAATCAACTATTTGCATCTAATTAAAGAATTTAAAAAGTGTTTCATCAAGATTAAAAAAATAAAACTAAATGGTCACTTATTAAATAATTTAGGACCATTCAAACTAATTACTTTCAAATATTTAAATATTTTAATGCTGTCCCATTGATTGATTATAAAAAGATAAAATGGTGTCCCTTATGGACCTCATCCTTAGTTAAAGGAGACCAACTAATCTTTTGGAGGTAACAATTTTAGCGTTATTTATTTCTTTGAGTTGAATATTTATTTCACTGATTTAAGTTTTTAAAATTAAAAATTTTAAAAAAATATTATATATCAAAATCATAAATTCTCTAGTACGTATAGCGTATTAATAGGTTAAGTTTTTCTAACCACTAAATCTGCATACTTTTTAATTTTTATATGATTTTATACAGATTTAACAAATAAAAAACTTAACCTACTAATATGTTAACGTACCAGAAAAGATTCCTATTAAAATTATAATAATTCCCCTTGTGCAATGTATAAATGATAATAAAATAAAAATTACTTCCCCTTGTTCTAGGAATTATATTATTATCTTCTTAATCAACTATTTGCATCTAATTAAAGAATTTAAAAAGTGTTTCATCAAGATTAAAAAAATAAAACTAAATGGTCACTTATTAAATAATTTAGGACCATTCAAGCTAATTACTTTCAAATATTTAAATATTTTAATGCTGTCCCATTGATTGATTATAAAAAGATAAAATGGTGTCCCCTATGGACCTCATCCTTAGTTAAAGGAGACCAACTAATCTTTTGGAGGTAACAATTTTAGCGTTGTTTATTTCTTTGAGTTGAATATTTATTTCACTGATTTAAGTTTTTATAATTAAAAATTTTAAAAAAATATTATATCTAATTTTTTTTATTATATTTAAAATTTTAAAAAAATATCATATCTTAACTCAAATTAAAAACTTAACTCTTCAAAACGAACTAACGAGACCATTACGTCACAAAATTACACACCAACACAACAACATGGCCAGACACATGTCCCCATATGCAAAGCGAGTACATGCGAAAAACACTTCCTTCACTTCTCCTCCGTTACGCCATTAATTAAAGAAAGAAAAAGAAAAAGAAAAAAGGAAAAAAAAATCTCATCAAACCACTCCTACCTTTACAACAACACCTACATCTCTCTGGCCAAATTAAAAACCCCCAGCTTATTTAACCATCACCCCAAAATCCCAAAACTCCATTATTAAAAGAAAAACCCACCAAAAAAAAAAGAAAAAAGAAAATCATTAAACAAGATGAGATCAAGCAACCACTTGATAGGAGTAGTGAACTTCTTCACGTTCCTGCTGTCGATCCCCATCCTGGGCGGCGGGATATGGCTCAGTGGCCGTGCCAACAACACCGACTGCCTGAAGTTCCTGCAGTGGCCGCTCATCGTGATCGGCGCTGCCATCATGGTCGTGTCTCTGGCGGGCTTCGCCGGCGCCTGCTACCGCAACACCTTCCTCATGCGGTTCTACCAGTTCGTCATGTTCCTCGTCATCGCCGCCCTCCTCGGCTTCATCATATTCGCCTACTCCGTCACCGACAAGGGCTCCGGCCGCCCCGTCATGAACCGGGCCTATTTGGACTATTACCTGCAGGACTACTCGGGTTGGCTGGAGGAACGCGTAGCGGATCAGAGCTACTGGGCTAAGATCAGTTCTTGTATTAGGGACTCTAAGGTTTGTGCCAGGACGAGGAGGGGTGTTAATGGTGTTGCTGAGACTGCTGATATGTTCTATAACAGAAGGCTCTCTCCCGTCGAGGTATGCCTTTTTTTTTTTTTTTTTTTTTTTTTTTTACTGATCGGGATCATTTCTGATTAATTTACTATTTGATTGAATGATATTAAAAGGAAAAAAGAAAACTGCTTCCTGGTAGTGGTAATCATTCAGTTTGAGAAATTTAAGTTAAAATGTTCAAAAGTTTGGGTGAACAAAAAATTCAGAAAATTGTTTGGAAGTATAATTTTTAGAAAGTTGAGCTAAAGAGCTCAAAATTTGATGGACGAGTGGAAAAGAACATAGCTTTTTTTACCTTCATAATTTTTTTAGTTGATTAAGAAGTTACACTGGGAGAAGTTATTTACGAGAGGTTTGTTGAGTATTCGTCTTAATTTTGAATCTTCTTTATTTTTTATAATAGTTTTTTCTCATAAAAATTTAAATCATAATCATGATTCTAAATTTATAAATTAAATATTACATTAATTTTAATTTAATTTCCTTTATTCGTTAACTTGACTTTAGATCCCATTCAAAAAAAAAAAAAAAAAAAAATCTTGACTTTAGATCGGTGAATTCAACGTTAATAACTTGATGATATCAACTTATGCTAGTTGATACTCCCCTTAAAAAAAAAAAAAAACCCTTAACTAGTTGATACTTTCATTACAATTTATTTTTATTTTTATTTTTATTTTTTTGTCTGTAAAGTAGATCTGGATTATGCATGTGGGGCGGTCGGGTTTCGAGTATTTCTCAATTATATATGAAAGTAGCCCATTAAGAATCTAATGTGAAGACGCGCCATTTACGCAGAATATTATTCTCGACTAGCATTTGCCTTTATGTTCTCCTTGGGTATATCTTCCATTTAATAGTTTTTTTTTTATTTTTTTTTTATTTTTTTATTTTTTTATAAATATTGTTGAGGAAGTTTTGGCCACAATCCAAAAAAGTAGATTAAAAAATTCAAAATGACCATAAGCGCAATATTTATGTGTACCAATAAGCGCAGTATGAGTTTTGGAGATCGACGCTAATGGCGGCACTGGACCACACCACAAATTTGTCTCAACTCTAACCCAATAATTATGTCTCACCCAAGCGTTTGTGTTTTTAAACTTCAAAAAATAAGAAACACTAGCTGAACAAAATGAGAAAAAGGAATGTTACGGTGTCGTTTTGATTGCTTGGAAAATTCAGTTTCGAAGCCTTTGAAGGAGCTTTTACTTTTGAATTAGATTTAGGAATTTACTTCTTTTTTTTTTTTTTGTTTTTTTTTTTAATTTAATTTTAGGATTTTTTTTTTTTTTTTTTTTTTTTTTTTTTTTTTTGTGGGGGAGAAAAGTTGTCATTTTGCTTACTTTACAGTAACCTCCAAATTTTTAAGGAAGAATGTTCTATTGAGTGTTGTATTTCTTTTTTGGAAAGTTTGGTGGACCTTTTTCTCTACGCTCCATTTGCTTTATCGTTGTGCGTTTTCCTTTTAGGTGGGATATCCTTTTCTTTACTTTTGTCTGCTAGCTTTTCTAAGGTCATTGAGACAATTATAAGGACTAAAGAATAATCTGATATTTCTGTGTAGAGATAAACATGCAGCGACGCATAAATGAAAAATATATTGGCCGAATTGACCACAAGCAGACACATGTGCATATGCTTTTTATTATCACATTCAAGTTCCATGCTTGTTTCACATGCCTTGTCCTATACTTGATTGAATCTTTTATTAATTTGTGACCATTACATAGGCCATCACTCTTGAGGATAAAGAAGTTTGACCTTTTGGTACAATTGAAATGATCCCTTTATTATCTAAAAGCTATAAAAAAAAAAAAAAAAAAAAGTTTGTAAAAATTTCACCGTGACTTTTTTTTTTTTTTTTTTTTTTTGTGTGCTAACTGAGGAAGGTTTATGCAAGCTGAAGATTACTTTGTATAACACGTAGATTAATCAATACTTTTGAGTCATTTTGGTCAATTATAATTACTATTATTATTTTTGTTTGGAAACGATCACTTCTGTCAATTATTTAGGTAAAAAAGTGAAGAATTATTGATTTTTGGCTTGTGTCACGTCTTTTGGGTGTGCCAAGGTGGGTGTTTAATCATTCTTTGCCCCTTTTTTCCTTATTCTGTTATTTTTTCATTTTTCCATTAAAATGCTCAAACACTGCCAGTGATCTGCAACCACAGCTTGCCCTTCCTTTTCCTCTGATTGACTAGACCACATTTATATCAATACGTGGCTGTTGTAAAGTGGCAAAAATATCAAATACATGAACATGGTAGGGAACTGCCCATGTAAACATCAATGAGTAGGATACTGATAATTGCAGTTTCTAGAGATAATGGAAAGGGCTCACTAACTAAAAAATATTAATCATAAAAAAGGCCTCTTAGTCTTATTGTAACAAACATACCCTGAATATATCTTTCTTTCTTTTTTCTTTTTTTTTTTCTTTTTTTTTTAATGTCATTACAATATGGACGGACTTAGAGATAGTAATGACTGAAATGCCTCTGTTATATCTATTTTTTTTAATTGTAATGTCATTGCAATAGTATTCAGTACCTGTGAATGTGATGTATGATTTTCGGTTTGATTTTTTTTTTAATTTTGTATAATGACTGAAATACCTTTGTTGTTTTCTCATTTTAATTTTTTCTTTTGGCAAGTCTGGTTGCTGCAAACCCCCTACAGAGTGTGGCTACACTTATGTGAATGAAACACTATGGACGGCCGGAGGAGGGTTGGTGGGAACCAATCCTGACTGCACAAGTTGGAACAATGACCAACAGCAACTCTGCTATAGCTGCAACTCTTGCAAAGCCGGTGTTCTTGCCAGCCTCAAGAAGAGCTGGAGGAAGGTCTCTGTGATCAACATTGTAGTGCTCATCATCCTAGTAATCTTTTATGTCGCTGGTTGTGCAGCATACAGGAACAATAAGCGGATCGACAACCACGAAGCCTATGGGGAAACTAGGATGACCAAGGAACAACCTAGTAGGATTCATATTTAACTACGCATAAAAAGGAGAGCGGGAAATGATAGTCGTAATTGGAAACTGTTTGTTTAAAATGTATTTTAAGGTTTTGGCAATTTACTTATAGGTCTGGTTTGTAGTTTTGGCCATGTTGACATAAATATGGAATCCTATATTTGGTTGTAGTTTCTTTCTTTTTACATTGTCAGTCACTAGTAAGTGACCAAAAAAATGCTTCTTTGTATTAGATGATAGGGAACAGGATCTGATTTTCAGTTTCTTTGTATATATTTACTTTTATGTAAATTGCACAAGTAACCTTTAAACAAGTAGAAGCAACAATACTTCATTCGCAATGGAGACAGACGGAGAGAAAAAGGGTGAATGTTTTGGTATTCAATTGACAACAAATATCAATAACCCAACAAAAATAGTGTGCATTGCAAGTACACCAAAAAGGGAAAGACTCGTAATAACTCTTTATTTGTTTTACTCAGTCTCAGATATTGTACAATTACAGCTTTCACTTTTAACCACATTATGATCTTCACGGCATCTTTCAGGAAGCCATCTTGTGATTGTATACTCAATAACATTGTACTCTTCCACACATGAAGGAGAATCAACATCATGACCATTCTTATTAATCTCAAGCACCAACAATGTCTTCACGACACCACTACAAAGCCTAGTGGTGCAATGAATATCAGACCACACTCTCAATCTTTCATTTGCAACACCATCTCCTTCCGAAAAAACAAGCACAGCAAACTCTGAATGGACCAGAGCCGGATGATGGCGGTAGGCTACAAAGTCAACACCGTATCTAACTCCCGACATCACAACCCAGTTTTTAGCTCGGAGATGAGAATAGGCCTTGTAAAAATCAGGGAATGTTGGTTTCTTCGATTTCATGTGCTGCCATAGCTGTTGATCATTCATCAAGCACTCGTCTTTGTTGAGTATCTTGAGGCATTTAAGGGAATGAGAAAGGTAAAAGGCCTCTTCCATGCCTAGTTGAAACCATTGCTTGTACTTTTCGGACGAGGTAATGGGGACACCAAAACAAGCGCGGTTGAGGAGATCAGCTTGAAGAGAGTCTGTAACGAGGAGCATGTTGGAACCAGAAAGCAGGGCCTTAGCGTCTGATTGAATTAGGGAAGATTGAAGCTGAGAAACTATCTTGGACATGGGATCACCAAGAGCTTTGGCTGCTGAGCCTTTTCCTTTCCATCTGGGCCCCATCGATCCTATAACACTATCAAGCAGCTACTACAAGTGTTCAACTTCAGATAACCGTGCTCTATTGGACCTGAGCTAGAAAATTTCAGTGTGATAAATCAGTGGAAAGATCAACACTTTAACAAAACGGCGGATAAACTTGATCCCAACATTCACATATTACAACCTTTGGACTGGTTAAGTTAGATGAACTTTCCTAGGCCCAAAAAAAAAAAAAGATAAAAGGAAAAATTAACCTGACGCCTTCGATTTTACCGAAATCACACTGACACCCTCAAAGAGTTAAACAATAAACCGAGTATTTATAACAGTTGCAAGCACAATTAAGCATCCCCAATCATTCTTTTCCAGAATTTTTCACACTAACAACCATAATTGGAATCAAAACAAAACCCAGGGGAGCAAACCGTGACATACCTAAGTACGGAAGATCTTGACTTTCATCCTGCTTTTCTCCAACTCCACAATCCAATTTTCAGGGGAGCAAACCGTGACGTACCTAAGAACCGGAAAAAGGAAAGAAGTTGGATCATTAACACATATCGAAAGAAGTTAGATCATTAACACATATCAAGATCTGCATTCTTAGCAATCTGCTAGACGAAATTTAGGAGGAACCAGGGGAAAAGTAAAAAAATATTCTTGAACATGGGCATTTAACTTCTTCATATACTATAAACACTGAACTCACATATTTCACATTACAACAATTACATAGTAATCAGGTGAGCAAGTCATCATTCAGTAATTGATAAAGTGAGCTAAATATCCGAGGCGCTTCCTCTTATGATGTGAAGCCTAATTATTACTTGTGATTTCATTAAGGGTAGTTGGGGATTTTGTACTTGTAAATTCGGTTGCCCTAGTTTTTCATTATAAGAGGCGCTGCTCGGTTTTGGGTTATTATTAGAGAAGTGTTATGAGGTGTGTGATTTTCTCTGACAAACTTCTTATGAATCATTGCAGCAACTGAAAGATTGTATAGTGAGACGAACCTCTATAAATATTGTGTATTGGGTTTATTTGATTTTTTTTTCCCAATTTTATTGCTCTCGGTAATATAGAATTAAAGCGTCTAATTCTTAACATTTCCTCTACAGCTAGCTAAAATGGACAGCCCAAAAGGAACTTGACACACAAAACTAGAGGGTCAGCCTTTGAGGTCTTTAATCAAACACCTAATGTGCAATTAATTTACCAGGCAGTTCAAAACTAAAGAAAATATTTTCACCGAGTAATTAAGTGGACGTTTGGTTCATATATTCAGAATTATAATTCAGAACTATTCTTGTTTTATATGTATTTTTTTTAGAGAAAAATACTGTAAAAAACCATAAATTATGGACGAATATAGAAAATAAACATCCTCTAAGGCCCCAAGTAATTAAAATCCCGTTCATTTTACTGATTCGAGTTTAAAATTTAAATTTTACAGAAACAGTCACATTTAACTTTTTTACTTGTCACGCCCCCAAACAGGGATTAGTGACGTGGAAACTTGTTTAGAAATTTAAACATGTTTAAGAAAGTGATTAGCACATAAACACGCAAAAATTGAATTTCAAATCTAAAACGTCCAGGTATTTCCAAACAAGTCCCTCCATTTAAGTGAAATTTAATTTCGAGAAGCGTGGTAGAATTTCTAATCAAACCAGTTTAAAACCACGTCCTGATATCATGTCTGGAACTCTCACATGTTTAGCATACATGGATAAAAACAGAAGTAAATGTGACATTAACCACAGTCTATCAATATTTAAGTTTACAATCCATAATTTATGCATGCCTTGAGATAAAAGATAAGAAGAACAAGAAAAGTGAGCGAAATGTCCAGTAGGATATAATTTTTATAAAGCATAGTAAATAAAGGTACTCACGGTCCGAAGACATACACCTGGAACCGATCATCATTTTTAGAAGAAATACTCACATAGTATAAAATATTTGTATAATGAAAGTGGGCAGCTCTTCATACCACTGAACAAGAAGTGGTAAAATGTCTGTCTAGTGAAAATTGCAGAGCCATAATTCCACTGAAGAAGAAGTGGATCTGTACGGGTTTCGGGACCTGCCTCTAAGGATATGATTCTCATATCCCGATCTCTGAGGTCACCATGCTTTGTATCATTTCTTAAGATTTTTCATTTTAAGAAATGATATTCTTTAAAATCTCATTTTTAAAATCATTGAAAAACTTAATAGCATTCTCATACTATTCTTTTGAAATCATTTTCTTTAAACATGTTGTGTTCTAAAACATTTTTATAAGCCAAAGTCATTTAAAATGTGAAATCTATAGGGAAAAAAAAATGAAAATGAGAAAAAAAGGAAAAAAAAAGGGAAAAAAAAAGATAATGGGAAAAAAAAAGGGAAAAATAGGGAAAAAAATGAAAATGCATTAAAATTTAAGTGTGTTTTCAAAAATTTTTTGGGTTAAATTATAAATATTGAAAATAACTTAAGGTCTATTAACTAATTGTGAAAATTAAATTAGACATACTAATAATTCATAATTTAACATAATTAAACATGTTTATTTCTAAAATGCGTTATATTACTATAACAAAAAACTCTCATATAAAATTGTATCATAACTCGAATTAAAAAATCGAATGTAACCGACCTTAACCATCCAAATCCCATATTACTAAGTTGAATGACTGACCCCAAGTACCACCAGCTCTAAAGCTCATAATCTTTCAAAATATACAGTGCAAAACAATGAGAATACAACCTCTTTTTCTTTTTTCTTTTTTTTTTTTTGTTCTAATTTGGAAATGGTTGACAAAAGAAAAGGACCAATGGATTGATTTCCGAGAGACGGAAGAGCCGCAATCTGGTTTTCGGAGTTTTTTAAACAAGTACGTTGAAGTGAATGGAATTGCCCAATTGGTGCCACGAGATTACCTAGAGAGAGGGGAAAAAAATTACCGACATTCATGAAAGAAAACATACCTTTGATTGTTTGATAACTAAATTGACACGGAAAAGTATCGATTCTGCTGCAAAGAAGGCTCCGGATACGGCGTTTGGTCCGGGCTTCGGTAGTAACTTTCGAATCATAGAGGTGAGAGCGACACTTTTTGAGTAGCGATATAACTGCGAAATCGATTATTAACAAACGATATATATGGAGCAAACCAACTCAAATATTAATTTTTGTGTACTAATTAACATGGTAGATAAATTATCATTTATTTATTAATGTGACCATATTTTATACATCTTTTAATAAAATATAATAACTCATGTATTATTAAAAAATACACAAACATTGATATTTGAGATTATATTGAAAAAAAACAAAACAAAACAAATTACATATACTATTATACAAATTGTCAAAAATCCACGTCCTTTGAAATTTGTTTGATTCGCTTTGAAGTTTGAACCAGAAGACAATAATCTAGTTCGTAATGTAATTGTACATAAAAACGAATTCAACGACATATTGTGCTTGTTTGGAATCATTTTTAAAAATATTTTTCACATTTTTCAAGAATTAAAAAATGAAAACGCACTCAGAAATGTGTTTGGCACCGCTTTTTCTGAAAAATAAAAATTGAAAACGTTTTTTTACTTATTCCCAAAAACTCAGCAAAATTAAAAACGATTAAGCATCGTTTTCAGTTTCCCATTTTCATTTTCTTTGCCCGACTGGACCACTCTTCTCCGACTGCCCTCCTCTCCAGCCTCGACCTCGTTGCCCCTAACCACCCCCATCCTCATCCGACTCCGTCACCGCCCCTTCCTCCACCTCACCAGAGTCGGAACCCTGGACGACGACTTCTCCCCTAGCGACGACGACGACGATCGCAATCTCTTCGGCTCCGGATCAGAGATTCCTCCGAAACACACCAAAATTATTCCTCCAAAACCCATTTCCTCATGTATATAATGTTTATTTAATATATTTAATATTATTATTTATTTAATATATTATTATTTTAAATATTATTGCATGTTTTTAAAAATTAAACCACCAAACACAATTTCAGATTTTTTTTTAAACTGAAAACAATCTCAGAATAAAACTACCAAATACATTTTCAAAAATGATTCTAAAATAAAAATGAAAACGTTTTCGTTTTCATTTTCATACAGAAAACAAAATCATTTTGGAACGAATTCCAAACGCACCCATTGTTTGTCTTCGCGTGCCAAAATGGATCTATTTTTCCGCTAATAATTGGTTTGTTTTAAAACAAGAGACTAGGGGAGTTCTCAGAATCTACTATTTTACTAGTAGACGTTTGATTCATGAATTTAAAATTATAATTTAAAATTATTTTTAATTTATGTATGTTTTTTATGAGAGAAAATACTGTAGCAAATTACAAACAATGATCTGAATTATGACACAAATTCTTACTTTAAACGCAGCAGAAAGATGAATCAAATCCAAATCAACTCAAGTATTCAAGTGCTATGACCTCTTTTTCCTTTTTAAATTTGAATAGGTGGAGCTAAACACTTTCCTTTGTCGATTTTTGAGTAATGTTGTTGTTTTTTAATAATATTCCGAACATGTTTCTTCCTAATCTAGAAGACTAGAACATAACTTAACTCTCTTAAGAAATAACCCTAAACTTTTTTTTCATAATGAACACTAAACTTTTAATTTTAGTAAATTACACATTTAACTTTAAAACAAGTAACAATTAAAGTCAAATAACTAATGACGTTATTAAATTAATAGTTCAAGACATGAAATTTACATATAATATTATTTGAAAAATGACGATCTTTATTTTTCACGTGCGATTCTCATATCTTAAATAATTAATTTAATAACCTTTGTCAGATATTGTATCTTAATTGTTATTAAATTTAAAATTTAGGGGTGCAATTTGTCAAATTTGAAAGTTCGGAGTCTAAATATAATTTAAGGTGCAACAATGCAATTTATTCTAAAAACAAAAACAAAACAAAAAAAACATAACTAAACAGGCGAAAGAAATCCGATAGAGTTAATGGCATTGATCGAGATTTGGTGATGACATTCTGATAGAGAATTTATTTATTTATTTTTTATTGGCAATATGAATGTGAACTGAACAGAAAATGAATAATGAATGTCAAACTCCCGATCTCAACCAAATAATTAACCGGAAGCTGCTAAAAACATCTGAAAAATTATCTTCAAAAGGATTGTATGTGTAAGTCTCTGCAGTCCAATCCTTGTGCAACGTAGCTGAGCGTGTGATCTTTGGCTACATCTACTAGTCATTTATCTGTCTTCAAAGTCTTCCACATTTGTCGACAAAGTTGGCGTGCGAAGTTTCTAATTTTTCAGTACAGAAAGAAAGCCAATCAGTAAAAGTTGATATCTATACATTAAAACCAAATCAAGCAACCACAAGTGGTCTTAATAACCAATTTTCAAGACTGATATGTCTAGCATGGACATGTACGGGTCAGAGGAAAATTGGACGTCCGCCAAGTTGCAAGACACACTAACGGACATTTATTCCAAGGCACGCTATCATGACCAAAAAATTGCTCGTTTAGATTCTATCAAAATTTCTGCTCGTAGAGTCTAGTAGTTTAGAGCTTTCTAACCTCATTCAATAGGGAATCGCTTTCTTGTTCAAGTTCGCGAATCTGTTGCATTGTCATCCCAAACCATTCGTCGATCCAGGTAAAACAATTTCGGTGACTCTCTAGAAAAAGGGCCCTTTCTCCCTGAAAAAGATACGAGTAAACATAAAAACCATCAAAACTTTGGATTCATACAATGGAAAAGGATCTTTTCACCAAAAGAATCTGCACATTGCATTTCTATCTGCATTCTGCAGCACATAAACAGAGGAAGTAAGGAATATCAAAAAAGATCACAAACAGCATGGTTATAACAAAATTTGAAAGGTTGGGATGTCCCTTAGTTCTTCACTGTTCCTCTCAATCTTCCATTTATATCTTATAAATTTCAAACTGCCTCATTGAATAACTTGGGACTTGAACAAATAGAATAAAAAAAATTGCATTTTCTTCACAACAATTACGCAAAAGACTTACTGCTAGCAGAGCTTGCTCAAGTCGATAGCCAAAGCCCCAGTATGGTGCATCTATGGTGACCAATTTGTATGCCGTCATAACCGGATCACAAGTATCCTGTAAGAGAGAGATAGCTCAATTAGAAAATAACGAATCAACTTTTGCACGAGAAAGCAAGAAGTAAAATGATACAATGTCCTTATAATATACATCACAAAAATCTAGTCTATATTCTATATTTGTGCAAGGTGTTTTTCCCCCTCATGCATGCTTGAATTCTAATACAATAAACGAGAAACCAATTTTACAAAGATAAAGAAAACAAGCATATGACATGCAATAACAAATAATTTGAAGTCAATTAACTAATAGGAATAATAGGGAATATTCAAACCTGCCATCCCTCTGAAAGTGGACCGCGGCCAGTTCTCGTGGACTTAAAATTTGATAGATCTACACTGTTACTTCCAACCATGTAACTCCAGTAATCTGTCGATGAGGACGCGATATCAACGAATTCCACCTGCCTGGCTGCTAGTTGTTCTTTGCTTAGACCATGGACCTAGTTTGACAGTCCCAAAATCAATACATGGCAATGGAACCGGTAGACAGTAGTAGTAAGAAAGATAAAATTGACTAGTTTACAAGTACTCAACGCCCCAATCCATGGAATGAAGCTTTGCTTTTGGTAAAACATAGTAAATTATAACAAGCTTACATTTTCTGATTGCCCATTGTCGGCTTTATGGACAGTTTCAATGGTCAGCCGAAACTTGGTAAAGTATGGACACTGTACAAACGAAAACCAAATGAGTACATATGTCTATGCTACTGCTATGATCCTCAGAAAGAAATTCCTAGACTGTATATAGAAATGAAAATTAGAGCTTCAGAAAAACTGTCACCTGGATTACTAGATATGTTGTGGCCATTGCAGAGAGAAACGAAGAAGTGTGTTAAAAGCAGCTCAAAATCCATCTTAAAACAAGAAAAATATCATAAAAGGAACAACAGCATGAGGAGGTTCCCAACCTGTTTTGCATCTTGGGTATGCGTTCCAGGCTTCTTCTTGCATGACAAGAGCATCTGCCGGTGCAAAAGTAGTAAGCCAAGCGGGAACTTTGCTGTAAGGAAAGAAGCCACAATATTTGAACTCTTTCCATTATCACAAAACAACATGAAGAAAAGGATCAAAATCAACAAAAGGCCACAAAATGGTAAACATTAATATAATGATGTCTAATGCAATTGAATTACCTTTGTAGATGATATAATTTAGAAGTATATTGACCTTTCCCAAATTCATCATCTTCAAAGAACCTGTTCACCATGACTTCAACCCCTTCTTTACCCGTTGTGTTCTGTTGCTGCATCTTTGTTACCATGTACATTTGTGCTATTTGGTACTGCAATTTGAACAAATATTATTATGATAATTGGATAAATGTTAGAAGCAAAACGGAATCTATTGAAGTCAAAAAATGTTCTGAAAAGAAAATGTACAAACTTGTTTAACTTGATTTACCTCTTCTAGTGACAAAGGCACGACAATCCGACTTCAAGAAGATTGAAAGTTAAGGAAAAACCCAAATGAAGAAAAATAAAGTTCTGCAATCAAGTGATGCATATAGATTGGCTAAAAAGAACCTTTCTTCAACAAGATGAGAATTTCGAAACTAAATATACATTTTATTTACCCCAAAACAATACAACAGAAGACTTGGGCAAAAAATTATAAGCAATGGGTAACTAATAACCGTTCATTTAGCTGATTTGAGTTTAGAATTTGAGTTTTTTTACAGTAAAAAACTCTCACAAACAATCACATTTAACTTTTTTATTATAAAAAAAAACTCTCACACAAAATCACATCTCAACTCAAATTCTAAACTCAAATTAGCGAAAGTGAACAAGATTTGAAGAAGTGAATTTTGTTGCTTTAGAAAGAAACAGAAATTTCTTTCTATGATTTGCATCCTCAATCTTCTCCTTTCATTTCTGTAACCCAGAAAATACAGACACATAAGAAACGCATATTGATAGGAATGATAAACTAAAAATGCGACGTAAATTGTGAAGTTTGGAGCGTAAAGAACATCTAAAAGACCGAAATAAGCATACACTGAACAAACATAAATCAAAACCCAAACTTTCATGGTTCTGTACGTCAAACAAACAAACAAAACACCGAGATAATTTCTTAAAAGGCAATCATCATAACATAAAAAGCACGAAATCTTAAAAGGATACAATTCCTTAATCTGAACCATATTTCTCAGCTTCCAATGCTTAGCTAGCTGAAATCTCGGCGAGCGCTTCGAAACGGATAAAAGAAAACCGAAGAGACGAAGATATTATATTATTTTTTGGTTTTTGGTTTTCGCCCGAGATTTGAGTTGGCCAAAAGGAAAGAAACAATTTTGTCAGAAAAGAAGAAAAAGGAAGAAACAACTCAAAAGCAGAGGAGAAGAAAGAAAAGAGGAATCAAAACGCGCCGTTGTGGTGCGCTTCGTTGGTGATTCGCGATTCGATGATGATGAAATACACGCACCACAATGCACGTCTCGCGCGGCGTTTTTTGGCCTCTGTCTTTCTTTCTGCGAACGAAACGACGTTAATATCTTGTTCGGACTCTGACTCTGACGACGACCAAAAAAAAAAAAAAAAAAGGGAAAAAAAGAGTCGGTAATATTTCACGTTGATTTCTTTGACAATTCAAGATTCCATGTGGTTCGTCGAAGTTGACTATTTAATACGGTATCGTTTTTTTGTCTCTGGAAGCTTGGAAGAGGAAATGGCGCGTATGCGTGTGGAAATGTCCGTCCCCTTGTTTATGGTGGGCTGCTGAATGAATGATTGGGGGCCACGTCAACATAGAAGATATCCAACTCTCTAAATACCATCATCATGATGGAAAAGATTATTTTTTATTATTTTTTTATTATTTTTTAATATTCTGATTTTGATACAATGCAATGCAGGGTTGGTTTACAGATTAAGCTTATTCATTAAAATACTCTAGTCTTTTTTTTTCCCGGGAAGAATACTTAGCATGAGAAGAATCATATTAGATATATGAAGTTATATAATTGAAATTTAGTGATGAACGGTAACACCCTTTTGTATTTAGCTTTCGTATTGGCCATTAATGAAAAAGTCAGAATATAAAAAAATCGTTCTTTTCATTTTTTTAAAAAAAAATCAAATTGACTCGACTGCTGTTACTATATAAAAATTTGGATTAATTTCATAAATACTCTCAAATTATATACTTTATTTTAAAATTTCTTTTAGAGCCCGTTTAGTTGGAAGATTCGTTCTCTGATTCGAATCATGATTTATGGTTCACTACAGTATTTTCTCTCACAAAAAACACACGTAAATTAAAAATAATTCTAATCTCATGGTTCTAATCCATAAATCAAACGGACTTTTAATTTTTTAAAATGGTTTAAAATACTCTCCTGTAGTAAACAGTTCAAATTACCTCATCTATCTAATTCCGTCCATAAATCTAATAGAGTTGCAGACATAGCAGTAATATTAAAATATTGAAAAGCTGATTAAATTAAAAAAAATGAATTAATTACTAAAAAAAAATTATTAAAGAAGTCTAAACATTTAAAATAAGCTAGTTTCTTTTTTTCTTTTTCTTTTTTTCCCTCTTTTTAATTAGATTTAGCCAACCTGCAAATGAAAATAAAAATCTATAGCAAAACCCAATTTATACTAGGCCAACCTGCAAATGGAAATAAAAATCTAAAGCAAAACTTCATACTCTGTAATCTACACTTGAATGCGATAAAGAAAAGTCAAGTTCACCCTCTGAAAAATTATCAGAGCAATCCCATTTGAAATTCCAAAAACAAAAATAAAAATAGAGAATATAAAGGAAACCCATAAATTGATTCAAACACCATACTCGTTTATTTCTTCTTTGCAAAAGGAAGAGCACGGAAGACTCCCCGGAGCAATCCCACGGAAGACTTTCCGGACGTCCTAGATCTGTCACATCCTACTCACCGCAGGCGGCACAAACTCCCCCCACCACGGGAGAGCCCCTAAACACTGGCAGCCAAATCTGCCCAGCCCGCGGCAACAATCCTCCGCCAAGCCAATGCCAACCCCCTTTCGACCCAAACCGACCGTCACAGTGAGGTGAGCGTCCTTCCTCCTATGCGAATATTAACGGATAGAATATTCTTTCTTTATTATAATTATCTTTTCCTTTATTGTAATTATTTGTATTGAATTTTAGGATTCTTTCTCATTCATGTAATTAGTTCCCTTTTCCTTTTCCGTTTGTTTTTCCTCATTATGTTTTGCTGTATAAATTATTCTTGTATCCCTTCATTATCAATATACAGAAAATTCTACCAAAAGTCTGTCTTATTCTCTTCTTTTCTATCATAGAATTTTACGTGGTATCAGAGCCTTGAGGTTCTATATCGATTTCCGCTGCAGCCATGGGAGAAGAGAAATCAAAGAAGATGATGGATGACTTTTCAGACCCTCTTCTGCTTCATCACTCCGATCATCCCGGACTTGTTCTCATGTCCAAAGTTCTTGAAGGCGACAACTACGGACAATGGAGCCGTGCCATGAGGCTTGCTTTGAGTGCAAAGAACAAGCTTGGATTTATCAATGGAGATTTGGAGAAGCCGACGTCTACCGACACCAAGTTTCCGCTATGGGAACGATGCAACAATATGGTACTATCTTGGATCCTTAACTCTGTCAATACTAACATTGCTGGGAGTATTATATATGTAGAATCTGCAAAGGATGTTTGGAATGATCTCTACGATAGATTCTCACAAGGGAATAACTCCCGAATTTATCAAATCTGCCAAGAGATCGTCGAACTATGACAAGGACATCAATCCGTCTCTATTTACTATACCAAGATGAAAGCCCTTTGGGTTGAATTGGCTTCATATCATGATCCAATTTCTTGTAGTTGTGGAGGCATCAAGCTTTTGGTTGAACGAGAAGAAAAGGAAAGGGTCATGCAATTCTTAATGGGATTGAATGATTCTTTTTCGACGATACGTGGTTCAATCCTCATTATGAGTCCTCTTCCCGACACGAGAAAGGTACATGCTCTTATTTTACAACAAGAAAGACAAGCGGATGTTGTTATCAAGCGAGACAATGGAAGGTCACATGCCAACTACCAATCCGTGACTTCTTCCAACTCTACCAATCGAGTGGCTACCAGTGGAAAGAAACCACCTTACCATTGCACTCATTGCGATATGGATGGACACTCCATCGAATGATGTTTCTTTCTCCATGGATTTCCTCCCGGACACAAATTCCATGGGAAAAATATCAAACCAAATAAGAAGGTAGCCTACAATGCGCATGCCATCACTAATGATGTCACAAGCACTCAGGAAAACAAAGTAGCCACTTTCACACACGATGAGTATGAACGCCTCATAAGCCTTCTTCGACAAAATACTGGTAACACCCAACCTTTTGCTAATACCACAGGTATACATTCATCCCCTACTCATCAATGGATAATAGACAGTGGAGCCACTGACTATATTTCTTAATATTCCCCCTGCACGTAACAAAAGCAACACTAAACACCATCCTTTTGTTGAACTACCTAATGGAGGGAAGGCCAAAATTAATTCCATAGGTTCCATTCGTGTTACTGATGATATGACTCTTGATGATGTGTTATTTGTGCCGGAATTTAAAGTCAATTTGCTTTCTATCAATAAACTTACAAAGACCTTAGGTTGTAATGTGACATTTTATCATGATTTTTGTGTGGTGCAGGATTTAACTATGAAGAAGACGATTGGATGGGGCAGGCAGAATAATGGTTTATACTTCCTCTCCATCGATCGTCATCCTCCTCTAGCCAACACCACAAACCGCAAATCCAACCTTTGGCACAATCGACTTGGGCACCCATCGATCCTTCCACTTCGTTTATTATCTAAAAACAATCCAGCTATTTCTTTTGATTCACATTTCTTTTGTGACATTTGTCCTTTGGCTAAACAAACTCAGTTATCATTTTCTAATAGTACTATTTCCAGCATTGCACCTTTTGATTTGATTCATTGTGACATTTGGGGGCCACATAGAATACATTCTTATTTTGGTGCTAAATATTTCTTTACTATTGTGGATGATTTTTCCCGATTTACTTGGCTATATTTCATGCGTTATAAATTTGAAACACAATCTCTTTTACGTAATTTCTTTGCTTGGGTCAAAACATAATATGGTCGTACTATAAAAAGTCTTCGTTCCGCTAATGGAGGGGAATTTCATTCTTTACAACCATTTTTTAATGACAATGGCATTGATTTCACACATTCTTGCACATCCACACCTCAACAAAATGGGGTTGTGGAGGGTAAACATCGCCATTTGTTAAACGTAGCCCGAGCCCTTCGGTTTCAAACTAATCTGCCACTAAAATTTTGGGCAGAACATGTTCAAACAGCATGTTACCTCATCAACCGATTACCTACACCACTTCTCTCTAACAAAACTCCATATGAAACACTTTACCAAAAACCTCCTTCTTATTCACATATTCGAGTCTATGGGTGCCTTTGCTTTGCCACAAATCTTACTACTACTCACAAATTTGACACACAAGCAAGAAAATGTGTTTTTCTGGGGTATCCTAAAGGACAAAAGGGGTATCGAGTTTATGATTTAATTGACAAAAGTTTTTTTGTCTCTCGTGATGTTGTTTTTCATGAAGACATTTTTCCTTATTCTACCTTATCACAAAATGACCACAACACAATCATCGCACCAACCTTACCTCTACCTCTTGACACACCTTTTGACCTACCATCCACCATCATAAACCAAAAAATCCCAGAAATTCTACCAAATCCACTTCCAGACCTTAGCGTCGTGGCACCTCCTACACCAAGTCACGACGCTGACTCTCTAGCCCAACCCATTACAGAAACCATACTCGATGCTATGGCGCCCACTACTTCAAGTCGCGGCAATGACCCTCATCCCTGCACCTCCATCTGACGCTCCACCCGTCAAAGTCGACCACCCTTTCACCTAAAAGATTACCATATAAACCATGTTCTAACTGCACCAAACACGACTCTTCCGGTTAAATCCTCGACACACCATCCTATATTAAGGTATGTGTCATATTCTAACCTTTCATCTGCTTATCGTAAGTTTTCCTACACTATCTCTCACTTGGTCGAACCAGAATCTTATAAGTAGGCTTGTTAGGATTCTAAATGCGTTGAAGCAATGCAATCCGAGATACATGCTCTTGAAGCCAACAAAACATGGTCTCTTGTCCCCTTACCTCCTGGTCATCGCTCCATTGGATGCAAATGGGTTTACAAGATCAAGTATCATTCTAATGGCACAGTGGAATGATACAAAGCTCGCCTTGTTGCAAAAGGCTTTACCCAACGAGAAGGCATTGATTACACTGAGACTTTCACCCCGGTCGCCAAGCTCACTACTTTGCGGTGCCTCTTGGCCATTGCTTCTACTCATAGATGGGGTCTCGACCAAATGGATGTTCAAAATGCTTTCCTTCATAGTGATCTCACTGAAGAAGTCTATATGCATCCACGTCCTGGTTTTCGTCGGCAAGGGGAGACTCTTGTATGCCAACTTCACAAATCTCTATATGGTCTCAAACAGGCTTCACAATCATGGTTTCACAAGTTTTTCACTGCCATCACCAAGTTTGGTTTTCAGCAATCTAGAGCTAATTATTCTCTTTTCACCAAGGTGTGTGGAACTTCTATTATAGCCATATTGCTTTACGTGGATGATATGATTATCATAGGAGATGATGAGGATGCAATCAAAGAAGTCAAGAACTTCCTTGGAACCTGTTTTAAACTCAAAGATCTTGGGTCGCTTAAATACTTTCTTGGTGTTGAAGTGGCTCGATCTCCAGCGGGGATATCCATTAATCAACGGAAATACACGCTTGATATTCTCAAGGAAGCAGGTTTACTTGGGGCAAAATCGGCTAAGTTTCCCATGGAGCAAAACTTGAAACTTAGTCCTACCGATGGCGAGTTACTTAAGGACCTTACTCATTATCGGCGGTTAGTTGGGAAATTAATTTATCTCACCATCACTCGACCAGAGATCATTTTCACAGTCAATATGCTAAGTCAATTCATGCAGATGCCTAGGCGACCTCATTTAGATTCCGTTTATCGTTTATTACGTTACTTGAAAGGCTCTCCGGGTCAAGGATTACTTTTTCCTTCTAAGAACGATATGAAGTTAACAGGTTTTTGTGATGCGGATTGGACTGGATGTGTTACTACACAACGATCAGTGACCAGATATTTTGTTTTTCTAGGGAAAGCACTCATTTCCTAGAAAAGCAAAAGACAAACTACAGTGTCTAAATCTTCGGCTGAGGCTGAGTATAGGTCAATGGCTTCCATTACTTGTGAGTTGACTTAGTTACGATACTTACTACATGATCCGCGGATTGATCATAGACAACCTGCCACTTTGTATTGCGACAACCAAGCAGCTATGCACATTGCTGCTAATCCGGTGTTTCATGAGAGGACAAAACATATTGAGATCGACTGCCATGTTGTACGGGAACGGATTGAAAGGGGGGAAATCAAGACGGCATATGTGTCAACTGGAAATCAAGTGGCCGATATCTTCACCAAAGCATTGGGACAAGTGTCTTTTCATTCACTACTTCACAAGTTGGGCATTCACAACATACATGCTCCAACTTGAGGGGGAGTATTAACGGAAAGAATATTCTTTTTGTATTATAATTATCTTTTCCTTTATTGTAATTATTTGTATTGATTTTTAGGATTCTTTCTCATTCATGTAATTAGTTTCCTTTTCCTTTTCCGTTTGTTTTTCCTCATTATGTTTTGCTGTATAAATTATTCTTGTATCCCTTCATTATCAATACACAGAAAATTCTACCAAAAGTCTGTCTTCTTCTCTTCTTTTCTATCATAGAATTTTACAGTGAACGCATACAGCTCTCCCCCCCCCCCCACCACACGCACACACGAGAACGGCCCCAGATCGGCGACGCCGAGCTTTGATCCCGACCCCAACTTCCTCCTTTCGAGACACGACTCCCAGCAGCGTGAAGATAAACCGACGACGACCTCCCGGACGGAGAGCGTGGGGTAGCAGCTAGACCCGCCGACCGCAAGCCTCTTTCTCTCTCTTCTCTCTTTCTCGTGCTCTCTATCTATTACTGTTTTCGGGAGTGTTTGTTTTTTGTGGTTCATATTTGTTTAATATTTTTAAATATATAATCATTTTACAGATTTAATTAATACGTAGCAAATTCTGATCCTTAATTATTGAAAGTGTTTTGAATAAAAGGATCCTTAATCTCGTGCTCTCTATCTATGGCCTTAATTATTTTATAAACGAATCCACATTATCAAATTCTCTTAAGTTATAGACGAATCAGATGGAAGGGTGTTTTGAACGATTTTTTATATATTAAAAGTGTTTTGAATTATTTTAAAAAATTATGAAACATTTTAAAATAAAATATATATTTTAGAGAATATTTATGAAAATAATCCTAAAATTTTTTACCAGCGTTAAGAACTTTTTCAGAAGTCAACGCAAAGGACTATCTTCTTTTTTTTTTTTTTTGGCAAAGAGGGAAAATAAGCTTATAATTTGCTACTTTTTTAAAAGCTAAAGTCCTAAAGAAAAAATCCACGAAAAGAAAAAAAGAGAAATTTATGAAATTTATGTGTATGGGTTTAAATTTTTTTCCTATTAATCTTAATTAATAAATTTTAATTAATAAAATTTTTTAATTAAAAAGTATTAATTAAAAGTAAAAGGTATGAAAAAATTGCTAAACTTATCTTAAATTGTATGAGCTTAGATTTTTACTCTTTACTCTTAATTATTACCCTTTTAATTATTTATTTATTTAATTAAAATTAATATTAATCAGAGTACAAAATTCAGACTCATGCAATGGGGTATTTGTCTTCTTTTTCAAAGAAAAATCTGAATTGGGCTGGTCTGATTCTTCAAGAAGTAATTACACCATATGACAAAGTTTCATATCTTGAATTTAAATTTAGCAAAATTTTTAAAATATTATAAATATAACAAAAAATGACATAATAATTATCATAATAATCTCATATATTATACTATATAATGATATAGTCATTATTTTAATAACATAAAAATAATATAAAATTTTGTTATTCTTGAATATTTCAAAATTTTTGCTAAATTTAAACTTTGATATCAAATTTTTGTTATATGTGACTGTGTAAATCACCCTATTTTCAACGGTCTAACACTGCCAAACGAACCACGGGCCTTATAGTTCACTACGGGCACATTTCAAAAACATAATGGGCCTAAATTTCAAATACAAAGGCCTACTTGTACCTCATCATCAAAACCCGGCCTAAAGTTGACTTTCATGAAGGTTGTGAAAAACCCTAGTAACCTGACAATCCTTCTTCACCTAATCACTTGTCTTCTTCCTCTGCTCAATACTCTCTCTCTCTCCGACTGTAACTCCAAGTTTTGATTTGTTCATCAAAAACTCCAAGCTTTGAGCTCGTTGTTTTGTTCTTCTTCCATTTCCGACTGTAGCCGAAGCGTTTGCCGAAGAGGGATACACAGAGAGAGAAGCAAAAGAAAATGAGCCATTGCATGAATCGCTGCGAGTACCTATCTTCGACTTCGAGTTCGATTTTCTTCTCCTCCAAGCTCCATTCCTCGAAATCCAACACCTTTCGCTTACTCTTCGGCTCCAACAAGCTTGGAGCTAGGAAGGCGTGCGCGGCTCCTCTGAAGCTCCGCCCATGGCCGACTCAATTCGCCCGATTGGACAACCCTATCTTCAAAGTCAAGTCGGTTCAGAGCGAGCAAGGGATCTCCAACGAGTCGCCGCCCAAGGTCGGAAAAAGAACGGACTTGAAGAAGATAATGATACTCGGCGCCGGCCCGATTGTGATCGGCCAAGCTTGCGAATTCGATTACTCGGGAACGCAGGCCTGTAAGGCTCTCAAGGAGGAAGGATACGAGGTCGTTTTGATCAACTCCAACCCGGCGACGATCATGACCGACCCGGACTTGGCCGACCGGACATATATTACTCCGATGACGCCGGAGCTCGTCGAGCAGGTCCTCGAGATGGAACGCCCCGACGCGCTCTTGCCGACCATGGGAGGCCAGACCGCGCTGAACCTCGCCGTCGCTTTGGCGGAGAGCGGCGCGCTGGACAAATACGGCGTCGAATTGATTGGCGCCAAGCTTGACGCGATTAAGAAAGCGGAAGATAGAGATTTGTTCAAGAAGGCGATGAATAACATTGGGATTGAGACGCCGCCTTCTGGAATTGGGACCACAGTTGACGAGTGCATCGAAATTGCAAGCGAGATTGGTGAGTTTCCCCTAATCATCAGGCCTGCGTTCACTTTGGGCGGTACCGGAGGTGGAATTGCGTACAATAAGGAGGAATTCGAGGCCATTTGCAAGGCCGGGCTCGCGGCGAGCCTGACGTCGCAGGTGTTGGTGGAGAAGTCGCTGTTGGGATGGAAGGAGTACGAGCTTGAGGTTATGAGGGATTTGGCTGATAATGTGGTTATCATCTGTTCGATTGAGAATATCGATCCAATGGGAGTTCACACCGGGGATTCGATCACTGTTGCTCCCGCGCAGACTTTGACGGATAAGGAGTATCAGAGGCTGAGGGACTACTCGGTGGCCATAATAAGAGAAATTGGGGTTGAATGTGGTGGTTCTAACGTGCAGTTTGCGGTGAATCCGAAGGACGGCGAGGTGATGGTGATCGAAATGAACCCGAGGGTGTCGCGGTCATCGGCTCTGGCGTCGAAGGCTACCGGGTTTCCTATAGCAAAGATGGCTGCCAAGTTATCGGTTGGCTATTCGTTAGACCAGATTCCAAATGACATCACCAAGAAAACGCCTGCTAGTTTTGAGCCTTCCATAGATTATGTGGTGACAAAGGCAAGTAACAACCTTTATTTTATTTTATGTTAGTTTTTTTAGTCTCATTGTGTGTTTTTATCATTCGATTCAATACATTATCTTGTTATGGAAATTTTAGGCTGTTTTGCTAAAGACTTCAAAGTTTCGGTAGAGTTTACTTATGGTAACACAACGGATGATAAGTAGGAAGTAGGAATTTTTTTCTTAGGTTAGGTTGCTCTTCTGTGGAGACACTGTGTATCAAAACGGAATATATTCCAAACATATATGCCATGGTTCCTTACTTCAACAGAATAAGAACGTGATCTAAGCCAGCTTTTAATTGAAATCTGTTGTTTCTGTGCGGCATTTGGCTTTTCAAATGTAAATATAGCATCTAAGAAATATGCGGCGACCTTACTGTTAGAAAGCTGGTATTTTTTCCTAGGTAGAGAAGACATTTTGGCATTTTCACAGAGCCTGTAATAGACTATGGCCGGTAGTTCTTATATTCAAATCAGACTTTTTAGCTTCATGTCTTGCAAAAGGGTCTAATTTAGGTTCCTTGATGCTGCTAAAGAGAACAAATTTTTGTTGTAAAGTCCCTCCATCTCTTTTTCTTTTTAGTTGTGGCTAAGTCCTTAGGTATCTTGTAGTTTAATTGACATTTTTAAACTTGTGGAGGATGCATTTTCGATCTTGAGATTGGGCTGGCATGATTGTTGATTTTCTAGACGTCATTATCCTCCTAATTTTGGTATATCTGCTGAATGGCATTCCTCACTATTACATTTTACACCAATCAAAAACTTTTAAGTATGTTCTTATCATTTCATTTTCTTTATATCGTTTATCTGTTTACTCACTTCCACCTATGTTGATCATGCAGATCCCTCGCTTTGCATTTGAAAAATTCCCTGGTTCACAGCCAATACTGACGACGCAGATGAAATCCGTTGGTGAATCAATGGCACTAGGTCGTACATTCCAAGAATCTTTTCAGAAGGCAGTACGATCTCTGGAATGTGGCTACTCTGGATGGGGTTGTGCAAAGGTTAAGGAACTTGACTGGGACTTGGACCAGTTAAAGTATAGCTTGCGTGTCCCTAACCCAGAGCGCATCCATGCCATTTATGCCGCCATGAAGAAGGGGATGAAGGTAGATGACATTCATGAACTGAGTTACATTGACAAATGGTTCCTTGTGCAACTTAAGGAGCTAGTAGATGTGGAGCAATTCCTTTTGGCTCGGAACTTGTCTGATCTAACAAAGGACGACTTCTATGAAGTGAAAAGAAGAGGTTTCAGCGATAAGCAGATAGCTTTTGCCACTAAATCATCTGAGAAAGAAGTTCGTTTGAAGAGAATATCTCTAGGTGTTACTCCATCATACAAGCGTGTAGATACCTGTGCCGCTGAGTTTGAGGCCAATACTCCTTACATGTATTCTTCCTATGACTTTGAGTGTGAATCAGCTCCCACTCAAAGTAAAAAGGTTTTGATTTTAGGTGGAGGACCAAATCGTATTGGCCAGGGGATTGAATTTGACTACTGCTGTTGCCATGCGTCCTTTGCCCTTCAGGTTTTTTTTTTTTTGTATTTATGTTTAGACATAATTTTGGGACTCAGTCTTTTATAATATGTTGTTGACTTTCAGTTATATCTTACCCGCTTCTCCTCTTTTTTATTTTATTTTATTTTATTTTTTCAGAAAGCAGGATATGAGACAATCATGATGAATTCAAATCCTGAAACTGTATCCACGGATTATGACACGAGTGATCGTCTATATTTTGAACCTCTGACAGTTGAAGACGTGCTAAACGTTATTGATTTGGAACGTCCTGACGGCATCATAGTACAGTTTGGGGGTCAAACACCACTAAAACTTGCTCTTCCTATCCAACACTATTTATATGAGCACAAGCTTGAATGTGCCAGTGGCAATGGGACTGTACGCATTTGGGGTACCACACCAGATTCCATAGATGCAGCAGAGGACAGGGAAAGATTTAATGCAATCCTAAAGGAGTTAAACATTGAACAACCAAATGGAGGAATTGCCAAGAGTGAAGCTGATGCTCTTGCAATTGCCACAGACATTGGATACCCAGTGGTTGTCCGACCTTCCTATGTATTGGGTGGCCGGGCTATGGAGATTGTATATAGTGATGACAAACTTGTGACATACCTTGAAAATGCTGTGGAGGTGGACCCAGAACGTCCAGTTCTGATTGACACATATTTATCTGATGCCATTGAGATCGATGTTGATGCACTTGCTGACTCTCAGGGTAATGTTGTGATTGGTGGGATTATGGAGCACATTGAGCAGGCTGGGGTCCATTCTGGTGACTCTGCTTGCTCAATTCCAACAAAAACCATCCCATCGTCTAGTTTGGAGACAATTAGGTCGTGGACTACAAAATTGGCCAAGAGACTAAATGTATGTGGCCTCATGAACTGTCAGTATGCGATTACAGTGTCCGGAGATGTATTCTTACTTGAGGCAAACCCTCGTGCTTCCCGTACAGTCCCATTTGTGTCAAAGGCAATTGGACATCCCTTGGCCAAATATGCTTCCCTTGTCATGTCTGGAATGTCTCTTTATGACTTGGGTTTTACAGAAGAGGTAATTCCTGCTCACGTGTCAGTGAAGGAAGCCGTTCTTCCATTCGAGAAGTTTCAAGGTTGTGACGTGTTGCTAGGCCCTGAGATGCGTAGCACTGGTGAGGTGATGGGTATTGATTTTCAGTTTCCCATTGCATTTGCAAAGGCTCAAATTGCAGCTGGACAGAAGCCACCACTTTCAGGCACTGTGTTCCTAAGCTTAAACGACTTGACCAAACCCCATCTTGAAAAGATAGCAAAGGCTTTCTTAGGGCTTGGATTTAGGATTGTTTCAACTTCTGGAACAGCTCATGTTCTTGAATTAGCTGGAATTCTGGTGGAGCGGGTGCTGAAGTTGCATGAGGGGCGGCCACATGCTGGTGACATGGTATCTAACGGTCAAATCCAGTTAATGGTTATCACAAGTTCAGGCGATGCACTTGACCAGATTGATGGACGGCAGCTGAGGAGGATGGCCCTCGCTTACAAGGTTCCTGTAATAACGACTGTTGCTGGAGCTTTGGCAACTGCAGAGGCAATAAAGAGCCTGAAGTCTAGCACTATTAAGATGATTGCACTTCAGGACTTCTTTAATTGTGAGGCGGAAACGGAGAGTTCTAAAAACTTCACCACTGTACAGCGTGCAACTAGTGCCTAGTGAGTGATAAATGCATTTAATTTGGAAAAGACATTTAGCTATTTATCTTAAATCTGGTAGCGTGGATCGTTTAGTTTAGTGACTGATTATGAATTCATGTCTATAAATTTATTTTCCTGCTAATTGGTCGATGATTGCTTTTGGTGTGATTGGTCATTTTCTGTAAAATCAGTCAATCACTTTGAGTGAGTGAAGTTGTTCAAGGTGATGTACGCTCATACTGATTATAAATTGGGCCTGCAGACTGAGAGTGATCTACATTTTTGCTACCTTAAATTTTTGCTATAAGAGATTGTTCCTTCATTTCCCTAGTAAATTCTATGAAAAGTTGATTTCCACTTTTTTTTTTTTTTCCTTTTTTGTTTTTCTTTCTATGTGATTGAAAAGTTAATATTGAATAGATCTTGTAACAGAAAAGGTTGGAATTCCCCACTACCCCAGCAGCCTAATCAAAAATGTATTTAAAGGGAGAAGTATCTTCTCTGGAACTTTAAGAAAAGACTCACCACTGTTATTTTATATAATAGTGGTCAAGCCGAACCTACCTCAGCTAAATTATCAGGATTTTCTAGAGACCTAGGATGACAATTAGTTATCGTTGTCACATTGGTAAAGTAGTGGAAAATTGCTGTTGAATGGTATGCGAATGTAGACATATAAACTATTTAAAATTGAAAGATGCCTTTGTAGACATATATAAACTATTTATTATCTATAGGTACGTGACCTCCAAAGTAGTTCTATGGTCTATTTATTTATTTGCGTGCTTCCCCGCAGAATTGAAGTAGCTAAAACAATTTTGCTGTTTAGTGTATATACACACGTATCTTTTACTATATCATAAATTTGATCCTCCTGTTACCAAATTAAGAATTGGGTTAATTTTAAGCGATCAGTTTTGCCATCTCGTTCATTGTGTGTTGTCATCTTAGTTCTTACCTAATTTTTTCCCCCATGACAGTTATTATTGTTTCTTGCTTTGCAGTAAAAATATGCTTGTTAAAACAAGAAGACTTATTAGATTTGGCAATTAGGGGTTATTTAAATCTTTTTTTTTAATTATTTTTTAATAAATGGCGATTTTTAGGATTTTTAGTATTTGCTCCCGCAGCCATTAGCCTCTGACAAAACATTCCAAGATCACACTTGGCACATGTCTTTGATTTTAACAGCAAGACTTGGTCACTTATTAGGCTTCTGTTTATTATAGCGTAGCCTAAAGGAAAAGAGTCCATATTTTTCAACCATATAACAATTTATTTTTATTTTTATTTTTATTTTTCATAGACGCATTTTCTTGAGCAGGAAAATGACCCTTGAGATAGTGGGCTCAATCTTCCACTGAGGTGCTCAAATTACTATATCCGCAAATTTGGAGGGTTTAAAGTCATTGAAAGTGGAAACAAGGCAAGAATTTTGGGATCATACATAGATTACTCTTAGCGGTCTTAGTGGGAGACTGGTTGGAACAAAGACCTTAACGTGCTTAAAAAACCGTGTGGACCTTTTCTTAAACAAAACTGTGCCATGGAATTTTTGCAATAGGATCCATAGATCAAACAAGCTCTCTAGAAAAATTGACAACTCGGCAGCAATTTCAGGAACATGTTTTTATTTGAAATTTTTGCGCAGATTTCAGTTCAGAATCCACTAAACATGTCAGTTGTTCTTCCACTGGTGTTTATCTGAACTGTCAGAATTCAGATTCTCTGCACATTTATGTGGTGTACAACTTAGGTTTGTATCATTGAATGAAATAAAAGGATTTTGAAAATTCTAGGTAAACGTCTTGAGGACGGTCATGGTCTTTGTTATAACACTTGGCATAAATGTAATCCAGTCAGGTAGACTGCCCTTTCGTGGGGACGGGTACAGAGACTGCAAAATCATGCCTAAAAGTTTGATTTCAATTTATATTTGGATATGAATCTTGGGTTTGTCTGATGACGATTCTTGTTGAATTTGCATTAATTAAGTGTGCACAACTAATTAATGAATGACTTCATGAATGGGTTGAAAGTTAGAGACCTTCAAAAACCGATGTGTATGACCAATTTATGACTGCCAAAGTACCAGTGCCGTGTAACACTAGCGCACTTGGAAGATTCTTTGCCACCAAATGACCGTTCAAACTGATTATGACGTTTCTACACGTTAGCCATATGTATAACATTACAAAGCTGGCAACTTAGATTTATTTTTTATTTTTTATTTTTTTTAACTAATATTATAGTATTTTGAGAATTATGTCATATATTTTTGGTCATAATCCTCTTTTTCCGCAGTTTCAATGATGGGATATGAGGTGGGATTCTAGTAGGTTGAATGAACGCAAGTAAATCTGTAAATGAACCTGTTTTGATTTTACACTGGTTATATATCAATATGAACTCAGCTTTAACAACAAGGGTACTTTCTGAAAGTGAAGAAGAAGAAGATTAGAAAAGCAAAGAATTGGCCTTTGTGTTTTCTCTTGTAAAGGTCCACACGCAAAAGACTCTTTGGAGGAGCATTTTGTGCGGTCGAGTTGGATAATAATAGAAACATGGAATGAAACACAAGTCCAACTGCTTCCCACCGCAAAGTCGAACCTCGGTTTTAATTTTTCTATTTAGTTGGAAAACTTGATCACTTCTTTGATCGAAAACCCCTCTTAAAAAAATGAAATAAAATAGTAATGGAGGCCAACTTTATGGAGAATTAATGTAGTTTTTAAAAATAATATTGTTTATTTAGATAAACAAATTTCTATGTTAGAATATTTGGGCTGCAAATCGTCAAGGGTAGCTTAAAGCTTTGTGACTTATAAATGAGCAATTAAGCATAGTTTTCGTACTTCATGCGCGCAACGAGCTGACCGGCTCCCACCAACTTTGTCCCACCCTAAACATTTTTCTATTTTGTACATTACTATTACGTACACAAATAAGTATAGAGCTACATTGTCAATATACAAATGTGAATGTGTATATACATATACATACATACATATATATATATATAGAGAGAGAGAGATAAGTGAAAAAATATGGGGTCGTTCTCAATAAATGGGCAGGTCATTAGGAGGTAGTTAGAGAAGAAGAAAGCTAGTACTGTCTCCAAGGAGGCCGCAAGCGCTCAATCCTTCACCAACAATTGAACTCTTTTTAACTAATTTAGCTCAAACCAAGGTACACATGGCATGCTGGTAAAGGCTATAAAATAATTAGTCTCAAGTGTGGACCACGTGGAGTTGAGAATTTGGTGGTTTAACTTTTTTTTTTTTTTTTTTTTTATTAAACTGAATTTTATCATTCCAATTTTTAGAGTTTCTTCCCTTGTTATCAAAGAAACGTGAGTTCTATAATCCTTTCTTTGTAGGGCCCCCTTATATAGAAGAGGAGAGGTTAAAAGGAAAAGACAAAAGTTAATTTGGGGGCCATTTAATTCGTTGATTCGAGTTGATATGTGACTTTATGTGAGAGCTTTTTACTGTAGCAAAAAAGTTAAATGTAAATGTTTCTGAGAGTTTTTTACTGTAACAAAACTCGAATCGATGAAATGAACGAGGTCTTGAGGTTGTATTTTTCTCCGTTGTTTCTTGGATTCTTATTCATTCAAGGTTCTATAATATTAACAAGTCATAATGATTTTGTGTAGTTTTTTGCTCTAATTATGTATCCTGTTACGTATTAAGTTGTTGGTGCATAGACTAACATTATTACATGGTAACCTGCATTTGACCAAATTTATGAGGTGTTGAAGATATTGTTTCGCGAAGCTTGATCATTCTTCTCTAAACCTCTTAGAAATCATGCATTGCCGGTTGCTATAAGTCTTTTCTATTTTTGTCTGTTTTAGTTGAAACTGAGCTACAAGATGAGCCCAAGAAAATTGGGGTAGAGGAAAAAGATGAAAGAGACCCCATTTTCTCCAATTAAGTGGCTAAACCACATAAAAGTTAGGCAATTAAAATTGAATTTTCGGTGATAAACGGAATTTTCCTTGGAGTAATTCCTCGTGTATTTTATGATAGTGACTAATGTCTCTTAACACTAGGGAGTGGAAGACAATTTAAACGAGAATGGATAAAAATCTTGTAACCAACTTGTTTCGCGGTATCACACCTTTTTATTGTTGCACACAAAAGGATTTGAATTTTTGTTTAAATTTTTTTTGTTTAAATCTATGAATCAAATGGACTATTAATAAATGGAAAATTTACTAAAACCAGAAATCAGGGACAATATCCTCTTGGGAAGTGGGAACTCAAGCTGGATGTGAAAACTTTGGGGAAAGCAGGACAAGAGAGATGACTAGTACATGGAGATAGGCTTAAATAGTTTTCTACATTCTTTTATTGACAAAATTTAACACCAAATCTCTTCACTTCACTTTTAAATTTTAATTGGTTAATTGTGGTCTAACCATTGACTTAACGCATGCAAATTTAGACAAATCTAATAATATCTCAAAGACAATCTCATTATCGTTAGCATTTGTTAATATGTTTATCTGAAGAATTACTACAGAAAAATCTTTTTTATTTTTCTGAAAAGAGAGTGATTTAGGGACTTTTTTATTTTTATTTTCATATTGTGGCTAGTAAAATATAAATTGATTATAGACGAAGAAAAGAAATTGTGCATGCATCTTTTCTCCGCATAATCCAAAAAGGAAAAGTAAAATCACAAACCTAACGGATTTGAAGATGGAAAAAAAAAAAAGGGGGTTAACGTGATAAAGCAGCAGCAGCCACTGCCACGTAAAAATCCCATTTTCACATGAACATTTTTCAAAGGATTTTTTTTTTTTTTCCTTCTTTGCTAATAACATATTTTTCAAAGTTTGATGACATCATGTAGACGCTCGCCCCTTAACATAGAATTGGGCTATATATAGCCTCCTTTCCTTTCACAAACAAACCCCACAATCCACATTACCAATCTCTTCTCTTCTCTTCTCTTCTCCGCTTCTTAAACATTTCTCACAATATTTATATTCATCTGAGATTATATTCCTCAAGAAATGGAGTGCAGCACTGAGACCAACACCACTACGACCACTAATTCATCAAACATGGTCGGCTCTCAGACTCCTTCTTCCTCGTCATCTCCTCCTCAGACTCCTCCTCCTCCTCCGACACCACCCGTTGTGATTAGCCCTTGCGCCGCTTGTAAGATCCTGCGGCGGAGGTGCGCCGATAAATGCGTCTTGGCGCCATATTTTCCTCCCACTGAGCCATCCAAGTTCACCATTGCCCACCGAGTCTTTGGAGCCAGCAACATCATCAAGTTCTTGCAGGTACTAAATCTACTATACCATATAACAAGTGTGTGATAAATGTTATCTAGCCATATTAATTATAATGACAAACATTTTCTTTGATGCCGAGCCACGTCATGATATATTAAGCATTATTATTGTTTAGATATATGTCATAGTATGCCTAAATCGTGTATGATTATGTGTGTTTTAGGAAGATAATGAGTACGGAAATAACGATCTTTACAAAACCCATAATTGACGATGCATAATGGCCATAAAATATCAGACTGTACTGTGAATTGATTTGAAAGAATTCTGTGTTTCGTTAGTGGGCATACGTGAGGACAATATATGCTATCATGTATAGCTTTATATTGACTAGTTTATAGCCGTATAACAAGTGGGGCCCATACCAAATGTATACGGGGATCAATGAATTTATTACACAAGCGCAAGTGACCTACCTTTTAGGTTGCTTGTCACTTCTTTTAATAATTTTTCTTTTGACTTGTTGATAAATTAAGTCCTAATTCTTTCATAGTTATTCAAGATCATAATCACGCACAAATTGGGGTTTTCGAGAAATAAAAACGTTTTTTTATTGGCCTTTTAGTGCCGTGGATCTTTTGGATCCTACTCACATAGCACGCGATGGGCGTTAGAGGCTAAACTTCTCAGTTCTCACATAGCGGATTGTTCACATGTACAACAAGATAGAGCCTACTTCAAAATAATAATAATAATAATAAATAAAACATAGAAAATTAAAGTGTTAGCTTTGCCGTAAGTTTAGGTTTGACTTTTTTTTAGTAATATCATACATAATGACTAATTTAAAAAATATTCACTTTTAATATTCAGGAACTCCCAGAGTCTCAAAGATCAGACGCGGTTAGCAGCATGGTGTACGAGGCGAGTGCAAGAATTAGAGACCCCGTTTACGGGTGCGCGGGGGCGATTTGCCAGCTTCAAAAGCAGGTTAACGAGCTTCAAGCACAATTAGCCAAAACACAAGCTGAGCTTGTCAACATGCAGTGCCAGCAAGCCAACCTTGTGGCCCTTCTTTGCATGGAAATGGCTCAATCCCAACAAGGATCGTATCATGATATTTCTCCTCATCAACATCATCAACAAACGCTTGATGGATTCAATAATAATATTACTACGCCTCTCATGATGACCGGCAACCAAAACAATAATAACCTGAGTTTCCTTGATGATAACAACCTAGGCTCATTGTGGGAACCACTCTGGACATAATCATGATCATGATGATCATCAAAGTGTTAGTTATATATAATTATATTATAGCATAGTCCTAAATTATATCAGAAGAAAGAAAATGTTCCAATGAAATTCTCCCAAGGAGAAGCTGATGGACATTGAATATTTTTAGTACCTTAGAATTAAGGATTTGGGTCTACTTAACAGTAGAGGGAAAAGAATATTGTGTAAGCTAACGATCTAATCACTTTGTTAAATCTAGACAAAGTAGATATGGATCCTTTTTTTTTTCCCTCCATCTCCATGTATTTTTCCTTTCAGTACTGCAGATAGAGAATGTTTAGACGTACGCGTTTGTGGTAATTAAATTATGGTCAATTAATTATATTCTGATTATGGAATCCTAAACCAACTTTTTGGTCACCTACTATAATTACTTTAAACATATTGATATCTACCGGAATGAATTCCTTGTCAAACCTGCTTTTTGACTCATCTCTCTTGCTTCTTCTTCTTCTTCTCTCTCTCTCTCTCTCTCTCTCTCTCTCTCTCTCTCATTGGTTTCTGATCGATAGTGACTTTTAGTCACAAAATTGTCTCATGTAACTTAATCACACAAACAAACAACACACGTTTTTTTTTTAAGTAATATACCAAGTAATTGAATAACCAGCATACTTTTTTTTTTTTACAAATAAGTTATATTTTATAACGCCTGTTGAGATAGTAAAGAAGACCAAAAAGATAGAATATTTTAGATAGAATAGAAAAAGACTAATGAGAGAAATAGAACAAAAGAAAAAAAAAAACAGATGATTTAAATAGATAGAACAAGACTCAAAGGAAAAAAAAAAAAAAACCTAACAATCTTAATATTCATTCTTAAATTATTCTCTAAGTGAAATTACAATAACCAAAGCATTTATTGAAATCTCAAATGCTAATAAGATATAAATTTTACTAATTATAAATATCTAAACTCCAAAACAAAAATATCATCCTAATAGGTAAATATACAATTTAAATTGTTAATATTCCAATCTATTTCTTCAGTTTTTTGAAAAAAAAAGAATAAGATATTTATGCTGTGCGTGTAGACCGATACTTTACATGTCAATATCGTCACATGAATGTATGAAAGAACCAATTCCAACTTATAACAGGAATTACGATTTCCATTTAAGTGAAAGTTAATAATTTTCAAGGCTTTGATTGGAAAACAATTGGATAAGTATGTTATAATCTATAAGTCATTACATATATATGCTCTGCTGCTCAGTAATATAAGAAAATTAATTATGATATATTAACAGTTGTATGTTTAGTCTAATAATAATTTAAATGCTCCTTTGAAATTAAGATCTATAGTTCAAATCGTCCATCCAAGTTCATTACAAAACAAAGTTATATATTATACTTACAAGAATGAGACTCTTGTTTAATGCATGGTGTTAGTGTCTGAAATTCAATTAAACCAATTATACTTTTTGCCACTAGATATTATTCTTCCTTGACTTATATGTATATGTTTTTGTTTGCAACACATTTTTCTGCCATAAGATAAGATTAATTGATAACCAAGTAATTAATAAATTTTAATTGATCACGTTTTGACTTTTTTTCTTTTGAGTTACACATTGTAATAGGTAGACTCTCTTATTATAAATTAAGTCTAATCTCTTTTACATGGTGCTAACTAAAAGTATATATGATAAAACTTAATTAATGCCTTCCTCATGCACCAATAATATTGCATCTTCTCAACCCAATACACGAAACTTTATTAGATCGCGCTAGGAAGTTTTTACTGGCTAATATTGTTTATATATCAATATTTGTGGTCAATGAATTATATATCTTGACACTGAAAGCATTTTTTATTAATTTTCCCCATCCCCCACAAAGAAAAGGAAGAGTATATTGCATCTAGAATATAGATATATTTAGAAAGTTCTCCAACAACCCCATTATTGATTCGCGTTGTTTTTTCTTTTGCCCTTTGTCTTTATAACCCATTTAATTTATTTTTGTACAATTTTAATCCCTTCTTCATTTTTTCTAGTAAAACAAATATTTTATCTATTCTCTCATATAATTGAAAAATGTAGCTCGGAAAACTAACCAAATTGATTATTATGTCTAAAAAATAAAAAATAGAAAAACTGAACCACTCTTTTTTTTTTCCCCTGAATTTGTGCCGAGATAAATTATACACCATATAATTACATAATTAAATGTGAAATTCCCATTAGACTATCCTTACAACCACGTCAAACCACTCATTTCACTTAACTTAAAAATTAAAATACACACTGCTTTCACTGTCTTTAGTGCATGTAGACAGTTTAACAAACACTACGCGCTTGTAATTAATTAGTTATTACTATTTATGTCTCTGTCTCCGTGACAAAAGTTGCATTCTCTTTTTCCCCTTTGACAATAATCATGTTGAAGAATATTATAATTAAGCCAGCGAAGAAATTGGCCCCATTTATTTAAGCAAGAGCTAAGTATCTCTTTTCCTTTTCAGTAACGAGATTGACATTTACACGTGCCATGTTGATGTGTGATCATCCATCGAATTACTTTGCTAGTGATAATATATATATATATATATAGGCATTTTTTTATGTCCCTCAAACGCGTTTGGCCCATAATTCAAATCATGTGCGCTCCACGTGCGTGAGTTGATCTTAAGTACTCATAGACCAACAAAAGATCATCACCTGTCGGCAATCCATTGACTCTCTCTCTCTCTCTCTCTCTCTCTCTCTCTATATATATATATATATATATATTAGTTGTATAAAGGAACAAGCAAATCTCAGTGTCTCACCAACATGCCATAATTTCTATGCTTTAACGGGAACATAGTCTTTTTTTAAATCCAAAAATGTACCTATCAATAGAGTATGATCACATTACGACCAAACCCGAAAACTCTATAGGATATCTTCTTTAATTTTCACGTTTTTTTTTTTTTGGTTTAATTTTTTCATTTGGTTTGAAAGGTAATATAACTGAAATGAGTTTGGAAGTCAATGCTAATGATCGCTTTTGGTTTTTTGTTTTACTATGGTAGACAAAATTCTTGTGTACAATGATCTAGCGAGTAGTCATCCATTAAGATGCAAAACGTGGACCGAAAAGAACAAAGTGTAAAAAGGACTATGGATCCTTAAATGGGATGCAAATATAATTTATTAGTTGATTGACTAGTACCATTAATAGAATGGAATCTATGATCTCATTTTTTACTACATGATTTATAATTAGTAGGGTCAAGCACATGTGTATACTGCAAGTTCCATCCCTTCCTTCAACTAAACAAAATAAAAAACAGTAGTGAAGGATTAAGAATTGGAAAATAGGCAGTTAGGATGGCTAAGATAGTGAAGAACTAATTACTATTGTTGGGGCCTGATAGATTCGGTGGGTACGACGTGTGTGAGATATACATGTACAAGTACCGGATTTAGTGGTGTCAATGCTGACACGGACGAAACACGCAGCGTTCGCATAAGAGTTTTGTACGGTAGGACCTCCAACGAAGAAGATGGGATCAATTAGGCCCAAAATAAGCTGAAGAAATCAAATTTTAGGACCCACTTTGATGTCAAGTTGCTGAGGCACTCTTGACTATGCGCATAGGAATATGTTAAACTCAATCATGGAGATCGCATGGACGAAGTATGGTGAGAGGAGTAACCGAACAGTTGATGGAGATTTGACTCGGAGAGTGTGGATAAGGCTGTTTTAGGGGAGGAATGCTTCGAGGACAAGCACGGGTTGTCTCCGGAGCGGTTGTCTGACTCACAAAGTGCGGATAAGGTTGTTTTAGAGGAGAATTAAGAGATCAAACACATGTTACCTTCGAGAATGTGTATCAACAGGTGAAGTTTATGGCTTTCTAGAAGCACGCTCTGGGATGGCAAAGTCCTGCCACAGAGGCAGATTTTCAAACCTCCGGAGAAACCTCAAAAACTTCGAATGTAGTTTGTAGACAAGTTTGGATTGATCAAAAAAGTGTTTTGAGACTTCTTGAGTGAAATTTCACCTAAAGAGCACAAGTTTGAAGAACAACTCTCAGAGGGATGAACTCAAGTGTTAGAAAAACTTTCTAAAAATTCCAAAAGGGGTCTCTCCAGTCCCCCTTGAAATGAAGAAGCTAAGGGGCATTTATTGGAGAAAAATTTGGGAGTCTTGGGTGGTTGCTCCAGAACCGTACAATCACGCCTTGCCAGAGGGTTGTATGAACCATTTTCCTCTGGAGCACTTGCATCAGGTGACTTTCCTTTTTGACAAACAAATTACCCAAAAAAAGGTATATTTGGAGACTAACTGGAATTCTTGCTGACAGTGGACCTTCTCCAGGTCTGGAGATCATGGAGTGTTTGACTGAATTTGGTGCTCCAGAGGCGCTTCTATTTTCAGAAGTCTGAACACACGCCAGACCAGCTTTAGAGCGCTGCCTTATGATTTTGGCTAAATAGCCGTCACTGGAGCACTTGACACATTAATCTTCATGGAACACAGGAAGAACCTTTGAATATAGGGGAGTCTCTAAGAGCATATGATATATATCTCTGGTCACATAAGAGTTTCTTAGAGCATGTGAAGTATCTCTACGGTGGCATCTACGGTGATGCCTTCGTGGGGGCATCCACAGTGACGCCTTCAGAGCAACAACTGTCACGGAGACGAATCCTTGCCAGCTCTGGAAGAAGTTGCTCCGGAGCAGAAAAAATTCTCATCTAGCGTCGGAGGGAAAGATTTCACAACTTAAATTCAAGACTTTATTCACCAAAGGCTGAGAAAAGGGTTTTTAAGACTCTTAAAAGGCAAACAGAGAATTTCGGGGTTAGATTCTCCATCACTCATTCATTCCTTGGCCCAATTATTTAAAACCGCCCAAGCAGGACTTAAAATCGGAACATGCTAAGAAATAAATGAGCCCGTTCGATTACCCATGACCCACCAAACTACGGCCCACGCGAGTTCCTCAAGCATGACTTGGGTCCACGAATTGAGCCCAATCTCATCATGAGACGAAATCATTTAGCCTGGACCCTTGTACAGATCTAATACAAAAATGACCATCAACAACTATTAATCTGAAACTAAATAAAATTAATATATCCTTTTGTATTAACTCAAAATATTATTTCTTAAGAAAATTGCTTAAGTAATTTCATGATGAGATGATCATATATACTTACATGCGGCATGTTCACCATTTATTGCAGTTTATATAATTATACTAGTTAAAAATGCCTCGTTTAAAACAACAGTAATACAAATCATAAGGGAAAAAAAAGGAAGATAAAAGAAAGGATAAAAGAAATATAAAAATAAAAGTGTGAAATGAGATCTGAAGCAAAAGATAAGAAAGAAAAGACAAAAAAAA